CAATATGTAATCCATTAACTAGTGATTTCCTACTGTTTATTTTTTTCTGTAAATCTGTATAACTTGTACCCTTTCTCTGCTTTTTTTCTTTTTCTCCTTAAATAAAATTAAAAACAAAACAAAACAAAACAAAAAAAAAACAAATGTGATCATCAATCATACATAATGATCAAGGGATCAATTTGACAAATATATTATGCACCTACTGCTGGAGCATTCATCAACAGATTCCCCCACCTCGCCCAACACCAACAAAGAGACATTGGAGTTAAACTATATTACAGACTGAATGAACCTAACAGATATCTACAGAGCCTTTTGCACAATAGCTGCAGGATATATTCTTTTCATCAGTATATGGAAGTTTCTTTAGAACAGATCATATATTAAGCCACAAAACAAGTCTTTTTTTAAAAAAAAAGAGAATATATTTATAGAGAGAAAAAGCTTCTGTCAGGCAGAGACAGAGGGGTACATAAAATAAATCTTAAAATTTTTTTTCAGAGAGGATGTCACTATTTTAGTTCAGGCAGCCTAAGCTACCCTTAAACTTGTAATCCTCCTGCCTCAGCCTCTCTAACGCTGGGATTACTGATGTGTACCACAAGATCTGGCATCAATAATATTTTTAAACATCAAATCAGTATCTTTTCTGAGTACTATGTAATCAGAGTAGAAATAAACAACAAAAGAAACCAGTACATGGAGACAGAACTATATACTTTCAACACTAGGTCATGGAAGAAATCAAAAGTTTTAAAATTTCCTCAAAATAAAAAAAAAATATAACATACTAAAACTTACAAAATATAGCAAAAAGCATTACTAAAAGAAAAGTTTGTAGCAGTAAGTGGCTACGACAAAAGAACAGAAAAATTTCAAACGAACAACCTAATGATCAAAGACCTAGAAAAGCAGGAACAAATCAAAACCAAAATTAGTAGAAGGAAATAAACAGTATATATCAGATCAGAAATAAATAACTTTAAAATAGTATGAAAGATGAATGGAATGAAGCATTGGTGTCTTTAAAAGATAAAAATCTAAAAACTTTTAGCTAGACTACCAAAAAAAGTGTCAGAGGTGGAGACATTACAACTGATACCAATACAACTGATCATTACAGATGATAAAAAACTATAAGCTAATAAATTAGAAAATCTAAAAAAAGGTTAATAAACATAAATGACCTATAAAAATGTAACCATTAATAAGCAATAGGATTAAATCAATAAAAAAGAATCTTCCAATAAAGAAAGCCCCAGGATTGTGTAGCTTCCCTGAATTTTACCAAACCTCTAAGAACTAATGCCACTTTTCTCAACTTGTTCCCAAAAGCTGTCAATAAAATACCAGCACAATCCAACAGCACACAAAAAAGATCATTCACCATGATTATGCTGGATTTGTACCACAAAAGCAAGAGTGGTTTAACATAAGTAAATGAATAAACACATTACTATGTCGCCTCAATAGAGCAGATATAAAATACAAGGCATGCTGCTGATGAGGCCCACCTGATGAAAAGGCACCCTTGCAAAACACTGTGGTGTGTCTTCATCCACATTATTCAAAGGATCTAGCAACAGACCTGCTCTTTCCCCAAATTAAAATAACCATCAAAGTTAAAACATTTTGAATTAATTCAGGATATCATGGCAGCCCTGAAAATCTAAGTAAGGCATTCAAGAAAGAGGATTCCCACAACTGCTTTAGAAAGTGGCAAGACTGACAACGGTTTAAGTGTGTTAGAAATAAAAGGGAGTATTTTGAGGGAAATTAATGATAATATTTTTTCTGGTAGTAAATTTAAGAATGTTTTAACATTCACCGTATTTTTATCACATCTCATATTTGATCTCATCATTTATGCTGTATAAAAATCAAATAATAATTAAAAAAAAGTAGGTATAAAACCTGAAACTCTGAAATTACTAGAAGAAAACATAGGGGAAATATTTTTAGGACATTTCTACAGGCAGTGATTGTTTGGCTATGATTCCCAAAAAAACAAGTAACAAAGCAAAATTGGACATATGAGATCGCTTCAAATGAAACAGCTTCTATACAACAAAGGGACTGACTGATTGCTAGAATGAGGAAGTAAGGCACAGAACAGGAGAAAATATTGGCCAACTATTCATCTGACAGAATAACTACTCAGAAGGTAGAAAAAACTCAAAAAAAACTTAACAAGAAAAAAATCCATTTAGTACAGCTAAACAGGCAAATGATCTAAATGGGTATTTTCAAAGGAAGTAAAAAGCCAGGAATGGTGACACATACTTGCAATCCTAGCTACTCAGGAGGCTGAAGCAGGAAGATCTCAAGTTCAGGACAGTCTGGGCAACTCACTGAGACTCAGTCTCAAAAAACTGGAGATGTAAACTCATGGATAGAGCCCTCAACTATAGGCAAAGACCTGGGTTCAAATCCCCAGTTGAAGAGAAGAAAGAGGAAGAAGAAATATAAATGGCCCACAAATATATATTTGTGTTCTATATCATTAGCTATCTAAGAGATGCAAAAAACTAAAAATATATAGGATATGATTCAACTATCCCACTTCCAGGTATCTACCTGGGAAATGAAATAAGCATATGAAAAACATATATGTAGCCATGTTTGCTGTGGCACTATCCACAATGCAGGATACAGAATCAACGTAAGTACCATTCAAGAGATGGGTGAATACAGAAAATGACACATATGTATCATTTTATATATACTTCTATATATCATTTTATGTAATATATACAGTATTATTCAGTCAAAAAGGAAAATGGAATTGTTTTTCAATAAAATGATGAAACCAGATAAGCTTATTTTCAATAAATAAACCAGACACAGAAGGACAAGTACTGTATGTTCTCTCTTATATGTAGAAGATTAAAATAAAATCAGTAAGAATGTAAAATGCTGTTTTCTATAAGGTGAGAAAGGTGGGAGTGCTACAGATAAACGGAGGCTGGGTTTGATCACTGTATGCAAGTTTAAAATATCACACTGAACTTTACTGCTATGTACAATTAACCCATGTTCATCAAAAATAAAATACTGAAGTAGAAAAAACTTAATACTGGGAGCCAAATAAATTATGGCATACTGTTATAGTGTAATACTATGTAACCATTAAGAATAAACCCTACAGGATTCAAGGATATTACATGGTATATATAGGTACTAAAGTCAGAAAATACTATATTTTTAATATAACTTTTACAAGTTGCCAGCCATATACCTGTAATCCCAGCACTTGGGAAGGTGAGGGAAGAGGACTAATGTGAGGTCAAGGCCAGTCTGAACTTTGTATTGAAACCCTGTCTCAAAAAGAAAAAATTTTTTCAAAAGTTATCAAAATAAGCTTACATATCTTTTGATATGTTCAAAAGCTTTATCAAAGAATATATGAAAGTTTGGGTGTGGTGGTACATGCCTGTAAACCCCAGCATTCAGGAAGTAGATGCAAGAGGATCTTTGTGGGTTCAAGGCCAGCTTGGGCTACACAGTGAGTTCAAGGCCAGCCTAAACTACACAGTGAGACACTAACTCAAACAAAACAAAACAAAACACACACACAAAAAGAATATATGAAATGCCTATCAACAATGATACAGGTGGTGAAAATGAATTTTTAATTTTTCAAACAGACACACATAAGGTAAAACAAGTTAGCTTACATTAATTAGTGACAGATATATATATGGTGTAAAATTTGTTAAATAAGAACAAGAAATGAACCTGTGTGTAGCTGTGGTTGCAATAAGACATTTTTCAACAGGCATTGTTTGTTGTCAGAAATAGAATGCATTTAGTCAATGAAATTAGATAGATATAACAAAATCTTCAGGAGATGTCTTAAAACTAATACTCTAGCACAAGCACTTTCCTAAGTCTTTCTTATTCAGAATACAGAATAACCGTATTTTTATTTTTGACAAAAAAGGCTGAAATTTTGCTATCAATATCCCTTTTCCTGATTACTATTTACACATAAACAAAGGAGAAAAAGTTGTACATTTTCTTGGTTTTTTTGTTTTTTGAGGCAGATTCTGACAGTGTAGTTCAGCCTGGCTCTGAACTCACTATGTAGCCTACGTTGGCCTCCAACCTACAGTGATCCTCCTGTCTCAATCTCTTGAGTGCTGGGATTACAGGTGAGTGCCACCATGCCTGGCCCCACTTGTATTTCGCCTATCACAATCCCTTGGAACTTTCTGGCTCAAAAACACACATGGAGGACTAGGGATGTAACTCAGTGATAGGACACATGCCTAGCACACATAGTGCCCTGGGTTCAATCTCCAGTAAACACACAAACAACAAACCAAACCCAAAACCAAAAAACACAGACTTGTTCAGGTTACCCTCTGTTCATTTATTAAGTTATTTTTCAATGTAAAAAACTTATCTACAATAAGCAAATGAAAGACTTCTGAAGAAACAGTTTATACTTCTAGTGTTACAAAATTATTACTTTCTATGCTTTTTAATATTTGCATGTGAAAAGATACATTCACCACTTGTACATGTCTGCACTGATAAGTATTATACATATTAGTTCCACAACCCAAGGGAAGAATTGCTTTGTTTTTATTTCTTTTGAATGCCTCTAAACAGGAGGCATTCAATTAGGAGAAAACCTTTCCATGAGCCAACTACCTGAGTTTTTTTTATTCTGATCTATATATCTTATACACTATCCATGCAATAGATTCCTAAAACTATTTCTGAAAAAAAAAAAAAAAAAAAAAACAAAAACCGAGAGAGAGAATAAAGTTTTTTTTACATGATTTAAACAAAAGTAAAATTTACACCGTCAGAGTATTTCTAACCGATTCAATTAAGTACTGTTTTTTAAAATTATACAGGTATAATTACCTGTCCAAAACTTGCATATATAGAGACTAAAGTCTTGCTATTTCCAAAAAATAGGTTATCTAAAGATGTTGTACATGAAAATTATGGGAGACATTTGAAATTTTCCTAAACATACTCACAGAAAGATAGCTGTTAATGTCCACATCATCAGTTATGGTTTGGCGTTCTCCTTTACAGTTAATTTTTCGAAACCTTCGTCGAGATTGTCTGGCAGGAATTTCTCTTTGTAGAATATCATCTTCATTATCTTTAGAATTCTCCACCTGAAACACACATTCATATTCCTGATTAAATATCCAATTTTTCCATGTTACTGACAGTCTATGGAGTTTTAAAAGGCTCATCAGGATGCTTCATTTACTTCTGGCAAGAAACTGCTTCAAGAAAAGTCTATAAAAGACAAAGCTGATGTGCTCAAAAAGATTAAAGGCGATGTGATTATAAAGACCTGCAGGCCACAGTTTCCTTTCAGGAAATTCTCTCTCTCTTTCTCTCTCATACACACACACACAAACACATATCTTCTAAGTCAAGTCACTTACCAGAAGTGAAGACTGTTAAGCACACCTACACATTCAATAATTACAGCTTCTAAGTCAATCTAATTACAAAGTGCCTGCTCATACATATATTTTACTAAGCCAACAATCATAGTCATGGTTCCAGTGAACTGCTGAAAGGTAAAAACACTTTGTTTATGCTTCATTCTCTGGTATTCATCCTAATGCCTAAAGCCAGGCAGGGTAGCAAAAGGCTATAATGCCAGCACTTGGAAAGCTGAGGCAAGAGAATTGCCATGAGTTCAACACCAGCCAGGGCTATATACTGAGTTCAAGGTCAGACTGTCTCCACAAACAAGAAAAATAAAAAACAAAACCAAAAAGGCTCATCTTAACCCATGATAGTATAAAGACTTACAAAAGTAATTTATAGGGGCTGGGGATTTAGCTCAGCGGCATAAGCGCCTGCCTTGCAAGTGTGTGGTCATGAGTTTGATCCCTGGTACTGGTAAAAATACAAAAATACAAAAAAAAAAAAAAAGGTAATTTATAAAAGTGGAGACACACATTAGCAAATGGGAACCAGAAATCTGAGTGTCTCCTGGGAGGTTGACCTAGCAAATAAGGGGGACTTCCTTCTACCATCTCTTTGAAGGCAAGTATTTTTATTACTATTTTGCTCTTTTCTGAGTAATGGTACTGCTCTATTCAATATTCTGTTTTGATATGTTCAAAAAAAAAAAAAAGTGGGGACACAGTAGGAGAGTCAGGACCCAAAATCCAAGGTAAAAATAAAATAAAAAGATCCAAGTGTCACTAAGAAGTTCATCAACTTCATATTGCCCCCAAAAGTGATGAAACAGAATAAAGATCAGAAAACACAATCCCTTATCAAACTGTAGATACTATTTTTCATAAAAACTAACATTTTGATTCATATATTTCTGCACAAATACAAAACACTCAGAATAGTCTGAACAACTTTGATAAAGGAACAGATTTTGAGCTCTAACCTCTTCAACCTCATGACTTACCACAAGTTACACCATTTAACACAAAACGGCACTGATATCACTAATATACCAAAGTGTACCAAAGTAGATATCCACATAATAGACAATTGATTACTGGCAAAGAAGAAAAAGGAATTAAGTGGAGAAAGGATTGTACCCTCAGTAAATACCCTGGAATAACTGGATATTCATGTGCAAAAAAGCCAAACCTTGTAGTACATCAAAAACTTCTTGAGACATCCAAAAGTCAACTCAAGATGGTTCACAGTAGGTTAAAGTGAAGACAAGTGTGACCTGAATTGTTGCTTTGGCTGAGGTCATTCTCCCTGGGACAAAAAGACTTGAACAGGATGTAGAAGGGAAAGCAGAATCTACAGAGATGCTCAGTGAAGGGAGGCACTGAATTTGCTTCTGAACAGGACATGTGGATGACAAAGGAGGCCACTATGCTTCTTTGTTTTTTTAACTAACTTATTTTTTAATATACATATACATGTTTTTTCTTTCAGCTTGTCACATTAATGAAACAATACAATGTTTACAGATGTGTCTTATTTATTTTACTAATAAGTATATTCTCAAAGCACATCCATTAAGTGTCCAGTTAACTGAGTAGTACTCCATTGTATAGAAATAGCACATCTTTTTTATCCATTCCTCAGTTGATGGGTATTTAAGTTGTTTTCAAGATCTGGCTATTACAAACTGTAATTTATAGCAATAAACATGGGTGCATATACATTGCTGTTGTATGATGTTTTTAATTCTTTTGAGAAGATACCAAGAATGAATAGCTGGGTCAAATGGGACCTCCAATCCTAGTTTTTTGAGGAATCTCCACGCTGATTTTCACAGTGGTTGCACCAGTCTGCATCACCACCAACAGTGAAGAGGGGTTCCTTTCCCTTTAGAAGCTCTAATTATTGAATGTGTAGGTGTGCTTTAGCATTTGTCATTGGTTGATTTCTTAATACTAGCCATTCTTTCTGGAGGTGAAATCTCAGTGCTGCTGAACGTTTTTTCACGTATTTATTTGCTGTTTGTACTTCTTCATCTGAAAAGTGGGTGTTCACCTCAGAAGATCATTTTGGATTGGGTCTTTAAATCTAGGACATTTTTTTGAGATCTGTGTATGTTCCTGATAATAACCCTTCATCTGAAGAACAGCTGGCAAACATTTTTTCCCACATTGTGGGTTGTTTCTTCACTCTGTTAGTGGTTTCTCTTGTTGTACAAAAGCTTTTTCAGTAGGATGAGATCCCATTTGTTGATTCTTCGTGGTAACTCCTGTGATTTCTGGGTTTTATTCATAGTCTTTGCCTCCACCAATGTCTTCAAGAGTTTTACCTACTCTATTTTCCAGCAGACTTAGTGTTTCTGTTTTAATATTCAGATCTCTAATCCATTCTGATTTTAGCTTAGTAGATGGTGAAAAATACGGGTCCGGTTTTAATCTTTGGCATGTGGAAAGTCAGTTTTTCCAGCACCATTTATTACAGAGGCTGTCCTTTCTAGTGAATGTGCTTAGCACCTTTGTCAAAGATGAGGTAGCTTATGTGTGTGGAGCTGTTTCAGTGTCTTTTAATCTATTCTGTTGATCTTTGGGTGGTTTTTTATTTTGCCAGTACCACACTGTTTTTATCACAGCAGCTTTAAAATTTCAAGTCAAGGGTTGTAATGCCCCGCTGTTAAAAAAAAAAAAAAAAAGATCAAGTAGAGAAAAAATCAATAGTAAAATATTAGAACTAAATCAATTTTTTGAGCAAAAGGACTTAGTAGGTGTATATAGAGTGCTCCACCCCACAACATCAGAATACACACTCTTCTCACATGGGACATTCTCCAAAATAGATCATATACTAGCTCATAGCACATGCTTAAGTAAATGTAAAGGAATTGAAATTATCCCATTATACCATCAGACCACAGTGCAATGAAATGGGAAATCTATGCCAAGAGAAACTACAAGAACTTCATCAACACATGGAAATTAAATAGTACCCTAGTGATCAACCAATGGGTCACAGATGAAAACAAAGAAGAAATTAGTTTTTACAGTTGAATGATAATGACAGTACAACATAGTGGAAATTTATGGGGCACAATGAAAGCAGTCTTAAGAAGGAAACTTATAGCAGTAAATACCCATTTCAGTAAAACAGAGTAGGCACATATAAACAACTTAATGTTAACCCTCAAACTTCTAGAAAGCTCATAAACCAAAAGCTCATACAAGGGAGAAAATTGTAAGAATTAGAGCAGAAATTAACACACTGGAGACTAAAAACAAGGCAAAGACTCAGTGAATCAAAAAGTTGGTTCTTCCAAAGATTAAATAAAATTGACAAACCCTTGCCCAACCTTATCAAAAAAGGAAAGAAAACACTCAAATCCATGCAATTAGGAATAAAAAGGATGAAATCACAACAGACCCTGAAGAATTTCAGAAAATCATCTACTCCTACTTTGAAAATTTGTATTCTAATTAAGTTGGAAAATACAGAAGAAATGGACAGATTGCTAGATATATATGAACTGCCGAAGTTGAACCAAGAAGATTATAAAAATCCTAAACAACCCAATATCAATAAATGAAATTAAAGACCTAATTAAAAATGTATCAACAAAGAAAAGTCCAGGCCCCTGTGGATTCACTGCTAAATTTTACAAGAAATTTAGTGACGACCTAACACCACTACTTCTCAAACTCTTTAATGGAATTGAAAGGGAAGCAGTACTCCTAGATTCATTCCTGCAATCAAGCATTACTCTGATTCCAAAACCAGAGAAGGACCCAACCAAGAGAATTACAGGCTAATCTCCCTAGTGAACATTGATACAGAAATCTTCAATAAGGTACTGGCAGACAGACTGCAGCAAATCGTCAAAAAGTTTGTAAACCATGATCAAATGGGATTCATCCTGGGGATACAGGGATGATTCAACATACATAAATCCATAAATGTAATACATCATACTAACAGAGCCAAGGACAAAAATCTTATGATCATCTCAATAGATACAGAAAAAGCTTTTGACAGAATCCAGCAGCCATTCATGATAAAAACCCTACTGAAATTGGAAAAGATAGTCTTTATTTCAATCTCATAAAAGCCATCTCTATGACATAATTTTCTTAAGTTTATCCATGTTTTTGGTAACTTCTGTAGTTATCTGAGAGATTATTTCTGATTTCATTTTTTTCCAGAGCCTCATTCAATTGCTTTGTTACCACTTCGGAGAGACCTGGTAGGGGCTTTCAGATTTCCAGCCTTACTGCCTGCTGGGTTTGCCTTTGGTGAATTAGGTGTCTGAGGCTGTGCCTTATTTAAGTGTCTTCTCATTTCTTAAACTGAACAAAACAAACAAGAAGAGAAAAACAAAACAAAACAAAACAAAAAAAAAAAAAGAAAATAGTCTACTTCCAGGATTCTCTCTGGACTCACTAACAGACAGCCTGTGGAGACAGTATCCTGAATTGTACCATTGTACCCCCACAACAGACAAGTTAGCAGGCCCGCCCCGAGACCAGATTCATTGGGCTCGCTGCAGTACAAGCAGTTTCCATGGGTCTGTGCTCAGCTAGGAGCTGCTGGAGGAAGCCAGTAGCAATTTTGGTTCTGGGCTTATCCTGCCTGAGTCCAAAATGGCTCCCAGCCAGTTGTTCTCTCCCAACAGAGGACCGAGTCCTCTGCACTCACCCCCAGACAGTACAGTCCTCCATGTCTGCCGCTCCCCTCCACTGCCAGGTCTCCCTGCAGAGGCCTCTGGGTTGCCAGCCACCATAGTCCCCATGACCATATGTCCCCAGCTTCCCATAGCTCCCCTCACACAGTGAGTTTGACTCTGGGCGAAGGTGTCTCCAGCTACTGCCACCTTCTTTGTTGAAGTTTTTCTTTTTACTCTTTCAGTGGGCTTCAATTCAGATCTCAGACTCTTCCTGGGTCTAAAGGATCCACTTCCTTCTTGCTTTCCTCATTCCTGTGTCTAGATGATGTCTCTCAGATAGGCTGTCTTCTCTGTTGCTTAATACTCTGGCATCTTCCCCAAGATGAAATAGTTTTAATGAAAGTCCAATATTAAATGATTCTTAATTTTTACTATCTGTCATTAATGTTGTAGTCAGCGGTTGGGAGGAGAACAACTAAAATCAGGACAAGGAGTTTATAGTATTATTTTATGGTGGTCACCCAGAGTTAACACAAGAAAATGCAGATCTATCTACAATACCAAAGACATAGACTATTCAGCCAAGGGCCTGAGTCCCACAGCAATGTCCCACAGAAGTCCAGATGAAAACTCATGACAATGCCTCCCACGAGTCCAACTGGAGGTCTAGAGCCCACAAGAAGGACTCACACCAGTCTCTTTTACGGGTCCGTGCTGGGAAGGCCCAAAGATCAGCGGTGGAAGCTACGAAATCTATGCCAGAGGGGTGAAGGAACTGTACTGGTAGGCTGAGGGTTCTACACTGGAGCCGACAAGTCACACTCACAACAAAGACCAGGGCTGTCCTGAAAAGCACCACAGCCATCCTTGGCAACATGGAGGCCCTGAACTCCTCCAACAACAAGCATAGTTGAGTACATGCCAGGAAGCCAGCACGATGAGTTCAGCCTGGAGATTAAGCAGCACACATCTTCCTCTCTGGAGCTAAGAAGCAAGGCTCAATGTGAGGACCAGAGCTTCTCCAGAAGAACCAATGGTTCAAACAGCAACACGTAGAACCTACAAAACCCTAATACTTCAATGCCTTTCTTTTTCTTCTCCACATCTATGTTTATTCTGCCAACATTCTTCAGGTGGAACATCTACGCTCAGTGCCCTGCTGATTTTACTGAGCTGGCGTTAAGTTGCCCACCAGTTCTTAATTTGCTCATTAAACAACTAATGAGCAAAATCAAAGAGTTAAAAAAGTCTTTCAAAGTAGAAATGTAAGTTAACCTTAGAAAATATCTAAATTTCAAAATATTAGGAATATCAAATAGACAAAATGACTTATTTGCATGAGTGTAAATGATTAAATGTCCTCAAAAAGTTCTAACTGAATACAACTAAAATATCATATATAAATGTTTAAATGTTGTGTTAAAAACTATGTGAAAATTTTTAAAAATAAAACTTTATAAACATGAAAGCGTTTCAGCTTGATGATTCAGAGCAATAAGAGAAACTGGAGAAAATAATCTTCCCAAGTTAGAAAATCCAACAGGAGATCCACTCATACAGCCAGTCCCAAATAGCTATAATCTAATTAGAAGAGATGAGCAGGGTGTAGGCAGAAGAGGACATGAAGATAACTTGCCTGATACTAACAGAGGGGAGCAACCAAATAAAAAACCTTCCACCTGAGAATTCAGAACCACAACCCATCTCTCATGCAAGTCTACAGTTTAAATTCATAAAACCTTAAACACAAAGTCAATTTAAAGAGGTTCAGGACATTATCAGTAACTGGCAAAAACAAATACAAAGTCTTGTAAAAAGGTAACTTGAGCTGGGCTGGTTGCATACTCCTGTACTCCCAACTAATCAGGAAGCTGAGGCAACAGGGTGCCAAATTGAAGGCCAGCTGGCAACTTAATGAGAGTCTGTTGCAAAACAAAACAGGGCTAGGATGTAGCTCAGTGGTAGAGTATGTGCCTACAATGTCCTGAACTCACTTCCTAAGTGCTGCAAAAATGAAAATCCAAACCAACAGTACCAAAAAACAACACTACCATCTGAATGCGAAGAAACCTAATTATGAGAGGAAAGGATGAAAAATTAGGGGCTGGGGATGAAGGATGAACAAATGGTAGTCCAATGACACAGCATATTCTTAGCATGCATAAAGTCTTTTGGAAGTATCATCGTGTCTTCATTACTTTTCTCTTGCTGAGACAAAATACCTGACACCCAAAGTTAAAGAAGGAAAGGTACAAAAAATGTGGTAACAGATGAAGAATGCCTTTGATAAACCCATTGGTAGACTCAACTAAGTTGTAAAATGAGAAACTTAAAAGATAACCCAATGAAAAAGAAAAAAAAAAAGATAACCCAATGTAAATCATCCAAACTGAAACAAAGGAAGTATTAAGAACAATGAAAGAACTAAATGACATGTTAAGATGCAACTAGAGGGCTGGAGATTTAGCTCAGTGGCATAAGCACCTGGCTGGCAACTGCAAGGTCATGAGGTTCAATCCTTGGTACCAAAAAAAAAAGATGCAACTAAAGGTAATTAATGACTTGGAAAGATGAATCCAAAAGAATTACTCAGACTGAAGCATAAAGTCATGAATAGGTGAAATATGAGAAAGCAAGCTTTAAAAGATATACAGGAGAGGATGAAAAGATATACTGTATGTTTAAAACAAAATTCAACAAGGTATTAGAAAAGGGAACAAAATAATGTCCAAAGAAAAATGAAAGAGTTTTGGTCAAAAAGCATGCCCTAAGTGACCAACAAATTCAAAGTAGAATTTAAGAACTATAACAAATTCACAGAGAAAAAATAAATACAAGTTTTAACAAGCCCAGAGGAAAAATGTAAATTTAATACAAAATGAGGAAATGACTAATTCACTTATCAAAAAAATAATAAATGTCAGAAAGTAGTCAAAGTGTGATTATGCTGAGAAAAATTAATTTTCTTCTTAA